CATTCAGTACAGGCTCTACCTAGTTTGAGATCAGATGTATTCTAGAGTTTGTGTGAGCTTTGAATTCATTGGGCATAGATTTATGGCTTCTATAATATATCTCACACATCTCACACACGGCCGTCTATGGTAACCAGACTGCTGATAGACATGCTTATATATTTTTAAATGCACACATATTATAGATAAATTACACCCAGACACAAAACAAATGACCGTGCTCATCACACAATATTTGCTAAACACACACTAAACACTAGACCAACAGGCCCGTCAAAAGGCCCGGTTCAGCTATGATTGTAGGGTCTTCAATGCATCAGTATAAGCAACTTCTCTTGCCATTCATTGCTTGCTTTTTATAATATTTTCGGACATCTGACACACAACGCCATCTAGTTTCAAACTAAGCAGAGCTTGTACTATGAAAACTAGATTGACTGATAGAATACTTTGTTTTGTAAAGACATACATAATATACATAGAAAACACCCAAACTCCGAAACAAATATTTGCAGATCATACAAACATTTGGTCCGACCCGGGAATTGACCCGAGACCTTAGCACACCAGTCGCATCCACTACCACTGCACCACCGAGCCAGTTTGTGCCTTTTGTTAATAATATTATATATAGTTAATAATATAATTATTTAACATTTATACCTTGTTGTAGGTTTAATTGAATGATAAAAATTATCATTACAATCATCATTAGTACTTTTATGAGTACCTAAAGCTTCAGTTTAAATGGAATAAGTGCAGCTAAATTAGGTACAAAATATTTTTATGCAATACGGACGCAACATTGTTGCTATCAACTCATTACGATTTAACAGCTGTATAAAAGAAATTCCTTCATTTAGCTTTACAAGTATTTTAAACTCAGGTGAATTTAATTAGGAATACCTGACCTACATTGAAAAATCCCTAAAGATTTTGGAATAAGTCCTAACAATAACAATAACACAATATTAAAACACTCTCGACACAAAAAAAAAACAGTATAACGCCCAAACATGGTATATATGCTGTAATTTTCTGAGGAGTTGGCTATCCTGCAGACTACTTGATGCAGCAGCAAGTTTCAGGGTGCCATATCGTGGAAATACCTGTAGAGTTTAGTGAGATCCCTTCATCACCTAGGAAGTAAGCTGATGATCTTGAAAATTTATAGCTAAGAATCCTCTCGATCACATAGGCTTTCGAACGAAAAACCCGCATCGAAATTGGTCCATCCGTTCGGGAGCTATGATGCCACAGACAGACATACAGAAACACAGGTTAAACTTATAAAACCCCACGTTTTCCGCCGGGAGCTAAAAATAACAGATACTTACCTATAAACTTACTTGTTATGAATCTCTGAAATTATCTGTGAGTTACTTTACATCATGGTGACTTTAATGGTGCTCTGGCGATCCTACTCATCTGCAGAAAATATCAGACATATTGTCTGCAGGTAATATTACACGTACGGCACGTTTTTGTAGTTTTTTTTTTTATGGTTATAACAATAATTTATTCCAATAAATTTGTTAATTAGTTGAAGATCAAAATCTGAGACAGATTCCAACAGCAAATGTTAATTTTGAGAACTTATCATGTCATTTTAAGACTTCTTCTTGCATAGTTTCGTAAAAATATATATTATTTTTAGAATTTCCCAAAAAAGAGGATTACTAAAATTTCATATATTTTCTAAAATAGAATTAAATTTTAGACTCTCATGACGTCCAGTTCTTTTTTTTTATTTGACCGCCAAAAGTTAACGTCGTAGGTATTCTATAGTCATTTATAAAGGTACATCATTCTACAGGCATTTAAAATGGTATTGTTGTCTGCACTTTCAATTTAATTAAATATTATTTCAAAATGTACAATAAATTTATTGAATTATTTAAAATTACTCGTATAATAACAAGATTAAAGTGAATGAAAATAATAAAATGAATAAAAATAAAATCTATATTTTCTTCTGTTTATTTTATGTATGTTTTATGATGTGATTGTGACACAGGGTACTAAAAATGTTCTCAAGAATCAGGTGACTGTTCAATTTAGTGCGTATATATGTTTGCTTGCAAGGATTATTGTCAAGGTTCGTTTTTGAGGATTAGTTCAATTTTTGAAGTTTTTCACTATGTTTCACTAAGTCACTAGTCCCTCCTTTGTCTCTCTAAATAAGATGCATCAGACGTTGGAAGTGCCATCTACGATCTATATGAGGACTCTTGTGGACGCTGCACTGAGTTACCCATTGTGTGTTAAAGCTTTGCCTAAAAGAAGAAATGGTATTTTCGTAGTAAAGTATAATTAAGACTAGAAGAATACCGATTCAACTTTCGGTCACAATATGATATAATCACATAACAGTCATCGTTGTTTACTACTTGCCTACTCTAAAATCATAGATCAATACACACAATAGCAACAATCTGTTTTGTCAAATATTTAGAATAAAGTTAATCTATTATATGCCTGTGCGGATCTACAAACGCGCGTTTCCAAGGGGTTGAGCCTTATGAGAAGAAAGGGCAAACAAACTCACAGCCACTCTTTTCTAATTCCGGCTACATATAGTCGCATCATTAAATATATCACAACGTTGTTTTGATGTGTGCGCCAGGTATGTCAGTTATTAAGAACTAAAAGGTGAAAGCAATGAAGAAAAATCAATATAAAGAAAAAAGAAGGAATGGAACTCAAAACATAAAAAATGAGAAAAATACACGCACTAGTCCACACTACATTTCCACTTAAGAAATAGCCTGTGCTGATAAATTAATCATAAGCATTCTTGTCTTCTACGTAATCCACAATCGAGTAATAGGCCTCCTGACACAGTCTACGCTTCACTGAGGATTTAAATTTGTTTATACTTAAGTCTTGCATTTTACTTGGGATTTTATTATAAAGTCGCCCACATCAACCCTATAATGACTTGTTTATTTACTAGTTTATTTCTATTGATATTTAAGGCCTGTACATCACTTCTTTTCAAGAAGCTATCTTTGTTTTTATGAACATATATAACATTCTTATATATACCTATATTGAAATGCCACTGCCTTTGTTTTTTTTTTTTAATTTCTGTATTAATGAACCACGATTAACGTCTAAATTATAAATAGCTCGAATCGCTCTCTTTTGCAGCACAAAAATAGTTTGAATGTCGTTAGCATTCCCCCACAGTAGAATATAGTACGATATTATGCTATGAAAATAACTGACACAAACAAGTCGTGCTGTATCAATATCAGTCAATTCTCGGATTTTTCTTACCTTACATCTATCGTTTTATTGGATTCGTATCTGACGAACCAACTGCCTGATAGCCATAGCCTCTACACGAAGAGGCTTAGTTATTATTAGGGTTTACGAAAAGGTTTAAGAATGTAAATAAAAACAAAAACATAATATTTTTCTCTTTTTATTTGACAAAAGAAATTAATTGATTTTTTTCTTATTTCCGTTTCCTTATTATACATTGTAGTTATAAAGTAATTAAGCTACCTATATTTATATGTATAGTTTATTTGTCTATATATTACAAAAAATATTTACAAAATTGTATCATCCCGTAAAGACCCATTCTAGAATAAAGATTATAATACAGCCTATTCATTTCTATCATTTATATTTTAATATACATTATATTATAAATATACACCATCATAATACAAAATTGTTTATAATAGAAGAAAAATGATTGAACATTTTAAATGAGTAAATGAATAAAATGAATAGACTCTACCATTTTACAGGTAATAAAGAAATTGCAATTGACATTAAAAAATAATAAATTTATAGCTTAAAACAAACTTCTTCTTGCATTCAGAACACATAATTTTTGCACAAAATGTAATAAATACAATTTTAAAACTCAATATTAATGTTCTACAAAAAAAACTTAAAATTATTTATCACAACAGACTGGTTTGTGTTCCCGTTTGATTGTCATTTAATTTTTCATTTATACTTTTTAAATCTAAATAAATAAAAAAATGAATTAAAGCTTAATTTACGATTACAATTTGAAATAATAAAAAATATAAGTTACAGTTTCATCAATAACTTTAATACTTTTGCTGTACATAATAAAAATATTGCAACCATAAATTTTGTATGTATACTTTTTGTGAATAAAATCTTTTTACATTCGTATTTTGTGCCCGTAATTTTAGTTTTAAATTAATAACGCTTACTGATATGTACCACAGTGGATTGCCGAAAAAAACAAAAGTGCGAAACACTAAAAGAAACATTTATTTATTAAATTCTCAGATAAAACTGAGACTGTAGACATTAACAAATTGCAAATTTTAATCTAAAACGACCGGGAAATTAAAAAGTTCTGTCAAAGAGCTAACACATTCACATTCTGTTAAACGTCTTTAGACGTTTGTGATTCTTCTATTTCAGGATGTACCTAACATGTTCACTAGCCAATCAGAGACAGTGATTTCAGGACGCGCGGTTTCTGATTGGTTAGTATCTCTGTTTCGTTCCTGACGTTACAATTATTTATAAAGATGCAGTATGATAGATAGGCCTAATAATTACTCTTTAGGATTATATGAGAGAGTCTTAGACCAAGAACAGAACGAACTTAACAATTGAGATACCTTACGTTGGTAACTACCACTTTTCTACGTACTTTATTTAATTATATTTTTTGCATAGTTTAGTCAGCTCTAATATACATTACTGTAATTATTTGGCCCATTTAACAATATGCTTTCATTTACATTATAACATATACAGTAACCATTATGCACATTTATTCTCTATTTATATTAATTAATTATAAAATTTACAATGATTTCCTTTTTTACTATTAAATAATTCTGCTTACAATTAAAGTTGGTTGTGCCGATGCTTCTGGCGCCAAAAATGCGACGCCATTTTGTGATGGCCGCTATTTCGTATCCTGCCATGTTTCATTGTAAATATACACTTACATTTTAGTTAGTTACCTTTTGAAAGTTGTGCGATGGCCGTTAAACCGCTGGCCATACCCTGTTAACAAAGAAATATTTATTATAATTTCGGTTGATCTACCTTATTTGGCAAGGCTTCAACTTTCAAACCTTAAGCGCTGTGGAAGATCTGTTGACGATCGGGATATTGATTGAAATTATATATTATTAGTGGTTTGGAGATAGACTAAGACAAATTTAGTATTATAGGGCATATTACATACATATATATAAACACAGCGAAGATGATCGTGCTTATCACGACAATTATTCCTTCTCGTTAGGACTTGAACCAATGGCCTATAGGTAGACAGTTAGGATCCCTAAGCACTAGATGAACAGACCAATCAAAATGCTGTATTGATGTCAAAGAATCATAGAGGTCTAAAAAAACGAAATACTTACGTAAGTAGTCCAGGGTTGGTATCTGTCTGGTACCAGGAGTACTGCGGCACGTAGGGGGGGTGCGGCTGGGGCGCCCCCTGGTGGTGCAGCGCGTGCGCGTGCGCTCCCTTCATGTCCCACGGACCGGGCGGCGCGCCCTGTACCAAAGGAAAATGTACTTTAGTTTCTTCGCTTATTATCTAATATTTATTTCGAAAAGACAATATAATATAATTCTGACAAATAAAGTAATTTTAAGAAAGTTTAACATATTTTTTTAAACTCTAAAAACAAACATAGCTTCTTCTTGTCATTAGTAATCAGATTAAGAACAATTTAGTACAAGTGTCCAATTTATTTTTACAATTTTCTTATCGAAAACACAACAATTTAATTAACCACGTACATTTAATCACACAGACAAACCGGCGGGTACAGGTTAGTCGAAAAAACTAATCATTTAAAACGCTAGCCGCGCCCACCACACCCACTAAGCTATTATCTAATCACTTTTATACTAAAACTATATGTTTTTTTTTATAATTTTTAACACGCAACCATGTTAACATGTTCTTTCCAACTTTCTATGAAACCTTTCGTCCCAAAAACGCTAATAACGTTGATGCATTCGAATGTATCTTTGTTTAATTGACATTGAACTTTGTCTATGGAAATATTGTTTGTTTTTAATACTATAAGGAATAGAGCTTAATTTTTTTCTCTTCCATCTATGAAATATCAGAAAAAAAACGGGTCGTTCCTGAAAATATTATATGCAGTCTTTTAACTGCTAGATGTCTAATGTTGCTTTGTCTACCAAAAATCAGTTAGTTATTTATTTTTTTTGGTTTTTAATTTGGCAGAGGGGACATGATAGCGTAAAATAGCGTATTTGTTTTTTTATGTTAGAAAGAAATGCACCACTGCTTAATGGAGGTTCCTGTATTTCCTGTATACTTTTAATATATAAATGAAATATTTTTTACTATTTCTACATTTTTGATGTAAAAGCAACATTAATCCCTACTTGATCACTAATATTATTAAATCGAAAGCTAGTTTGTTTGTCTATGACGCTTTTACGCCTTGACTACTCCATCAATCATCATGAAATTTTAATTACAAGTGTTAAAGTTCAGAAAAAGGGCATGGGGTACCCTTCTATTCATAAAAAAAATCTGAGCTTGCAAAAGCTAGCTGTTCGTAACTGATATTGAATTTTGGATATATTGTTTATGTTTCTTCTGGTAAATAGGGCCAAACCAAGAGCTTCGTGGAAAATAGAAGAATGTGAAAACTCTTTGTGAATTAGAAGAACATTTATTCGTACATTTATCCATTCTATCTTTCATTTTTATAAGACAAACACGACTTGGACTCGGACAAAGCCCCTTACCTTGAACATCCAAGGCATGGCTCGGCCCCTGACGGCCTCCGCACTCGGCGAGCCCTCTACGTCATCGGATTGAGGCGCGAAATAACCCTCCTAAAGGAAAATAATCTCCCCTCAAAAATATGTATAGCTTAAAGCACCTAAACTTAATTTTAACAGTGCAGTTGAATATAACCCTATTTGTTTAACTTTAAATTATTACATTAATTTAATGTTAAACAGTTGAGGTTATTTAAAATTTAAAGTGAAGGGTGTTTCATAACGCCTTAATTGTTTCAAAAGAATGTCTAATAGCAATTTAATTTTGAAGTTAAATTTTCCAATTATTAACTTCATTTACTTTCGCTTATCAGTCGGTATTGTTTCATTTAAAAGAAATAAATAATTGGAAAATTTCATTTATTTGTACTTTCATTTGAATCGACTTACATATCCGACCCTCGGGTCCCATGACTGTTGGTGTGGAGGCTTCACATCGCAGGAACTGCCATCTGGCGACCGGCCAGCCGTCGGCTAAACAAACAAAAATATAAATTGTTATTAACGCGGAATAAGTGTACAGTTAGTCTATTGCTTATTTTTGTTTTGTAGTACGCTCTACTAATTTTCTTTCCTTAATGTCTATTCTCAAATGCTTATAGTTCTTAAGACAATTAACAAAAAGCAAGTTAGTATCTAAGCTCGCATAGCAAGAAATATATATGTAGGTATAATGGACCGAAGGACAAATTTAACTTTGAATTGTTTTCAATATTTAATATGCTTTATTTTGATTAAATTGTTTCGATTAGTTTTCTGATTAGATTCTGCGAGGATGGACTTAAAGGGGTGGCAACGGACTTGTTACTCTTAAACTATAAGCGTCCGTGGGCGAAGGTAGTCACTTACCATCAGTTGGCTTGTATACTCGTTTGCACCCCTTTTTTACCATAAAAAAGACCCATACCATTGTGGCAGGGCACTTCACTATCTTAAATATTTTTGTGCACGCATTTTTACATAAATCGATTATTTAGGTGTATGAGATCGAGTTAAAAATGTTATTTAAATAAAGCATTAACTTCTTACATATCCGACCTTTACATCCCAGGAGGGTTGAGGTGGCTGTTTCACATCCCACGGCGTGCCCGTGGGCGACAGTCCTGGGCTAAGCTCTGACACCGGTGTGGAGCTGGGCGTGGGCGAGTGGGCTTGCGCTTGCCCACCGCTCTGATACGCCGAGGGGGAATGTTGGGAACCGCTGGAACTGCCTCCTCCGCCACCTGTTAAAAATAATAATAAGTCAGTACAATAGATAGAGGAGTATACTTTACCTCCGAGCCTTTTTCCAGAACTAGGTGGGGTCGGCTTTTAATTCAACTACGCGATTTTTTACGCGGAGCGACTGCCATCAGACCTAAATAACCCAAGTAGGTACTAGGCGAAAACGAAGCTTTGTAGAGTCGGAAAATTTTCTTAAGTTTTATTATAACTTTCGTAATCTATTTGATATATAAGAAACCAGCTAAAATCATATTTTGTAATGCTCCAAACTGCACCGACCCCAAATAAAATCAGCAATTTACAGGAAAATGATGGGTGACAACAGAATATATTAATTTCAAAAATCAAATAACTTTATAGATGACCGAATAGTACCTACATGTTCCTGAAAAGTTTTATTTAGTTACACATTTATCTTACATGGCTTTCAAACTTATGTAAAGTCTATTTTTTTTCATCAATTATAAATTAGAGTAAAAATCGGTTTCGTATTTCCTCTATTTTTTATAATCTATAATTAAGAAAATGTTAGAGAACTATTAAAGATATTCGTTTTCGACTAAGTTCCTATAAATCAGCATAAAAATATCATTTAAAAATATAAAATCGACAAGGAAACAGTAATTTTCATAATAATGACAGCATAACGATCCAAAAATGCTAATAACTGCAATTTACACAATAATTTCACATTTAAATAAAGCTGTTTTTATTTTATTGTTAGCATTCAGAAAATAAACATATTTCAAATGTAACTATATGAACTTAAATGCATGCTAATGACACTATTACGCAATTGTCCTAACACTTTAATTTGTCGTTTGTAAAATTGAGGATACACACATTTAATTATACTAAGAACTTTACACATTTCACACACGGTCTTGTGATCCGAAAATAGCAAAGCCTGTGCTATGGTAACCAGACTGCTGATAAACATACTTATATATTTCAAAATCCACACATATTATACATAGATAATACAGACAAAGAAGAAGAAAATCGATCTAAGTGGCGTGCAATGGGAGAGGCCTATGTCCAGCAGTGGACTGCGATAGGCTGATGATGAATACAGACATAGTTTTAATGTTTATGTGATGTCACACAATTATAATTGTCTTGAGTAGGAATTGTACCTTAAAAATTGGGAGACGAGTCCATGTTTTTTAAACTAGAGTTGGCTTTAAAAGTTTAGAATGGTCAAGAAACAAAAACTCGAAACTCGAGGGAGGTAGTTTCTGTCGACACATTTAAGTACTTACCATGTAATAATTGGTTGTTGTTGGGAGGGCTGGATGGTGCAAGCCCTAGGCTCGGCGGTGGAGCTCCTACTTGCGCTGCCTTCATCATCTTCTTGTATTTGCTGCGTCGGTTTTGGAACCAGATCTTCACCTAAGAATGGAGAGAAGAGAATTAGTAGGAATAAATACATACTAATTACATTTAAATTAGGCATTTTTTTATTTATTTTCAGAAACAGAATCCCTTCTGTTTAATTCCCGAATTATTAATTTAATAGCTAGCTCTAATAATTAGCTCTCCGGGTAAGCGGTGATCGAAGATTAAACCTGCTTATAAAGTCTCTGAGCACTTTACGTAATGTGATGGGATAGAACATTTAAAACGTGCAATGGTAAGAGCTGATGTGGATAACTATTAAACTACTATGCTAGTATCCTAGCTCAAAATTAAATGTAGTTTTTGTCATGGTATGGGACCTCCAAATACCAAATAGCAAAAGTCGTATTAAAAAAGGTTTAATTGCGAGACAAAATAAGGCAAAGCCTAAGAGATGTAGCAAGAGACAATATTAATAGTGTTAGATATAAATATTTGCAACTATGCAACATGCCTTGTGTTACAAACACAATAACGAAGTCATACATTTATTTATTTAGAAGAATTCTAAAAACTTTTCTTAAAATATTTATAGGTAAAAAACTTGTAAAATTAATGGTCTAATTAGTCTGAATTCCTTGAGTTATGCTAACGGCTTATGGCGCCATTTACGTGTAGTACTGTCAATGCTATTTTCTCCGACCATAGACAATTTAAGACTATAAAAAAACTGTATGTATGGCAAATGGGCGTTGGCGAATGTTTATATGTAAATTTCTTAATTGACCATTTGTCTGAACCATACCAATTAAAAGAATATATTTACAAATTTAAATATATTGAATATTTTTAAAATGTGTGTATAAATTTACATAATATGTTTTTAAATTGTAATTTGTTCTACAAAATGTCTGACGAAATAAAAACAAAAAGAGAACAGCAGATTTCTGTTCGTATTTTAACTGTTAGTATTTCCATGTGCTTGTTAGTCACATAAAACTATAAAAACAATAAGAATTCAGGTTATCGTCATAAACAAAAAATATAACATCTGCAATTCAATTGAAGAATTTCGTCAAAATACAACTCGGAGAAATACCTACAGTAAGTTAATATACATATTTATGTAATCCCAAAGAGGGGTAGCGTGAATGAGGGCGGGGCCTCTCGGGGTTGCCAGCCGTTACTGTACCGTTAGCGGTAGGGATGGGACGAGTCGAGTCGATAAACAAATTTACATTATCATCTTAAGTCTACTTCTTTTGGATACAATTAGTTTTAAGAAAGAACAATATCAATATCAATAACAATGTATAGAACAATATCAATCAACAATATCGACAGGGCAGTTTAAAAGCTTGTTTAAGAAGAAATTAAACTTTTTAAAGGTTTACTGTGTGTGCATTTTACATGGTTGTCACTTAACTCAATTTATAAATGTGATATGATTATTCGTGTAGTTTCGTGCAAATGCTCTATTCAAATAACTTTAAACATTCAAAGACTTAAAGAAATTAATCCAATAGTTTTTGTATATGCCTACGACCACACTCAGTGTAATATGATCGAAGCGTTTATTCCTGGAAATGTTATAATAAGCTTAAAGATTTGGATACTTCTACTTATACGTTTGATATTACAAAGGTACAAAAACTATGCAAGAACATAAAACAATTTTGGTGTCATAAGCTGTCCATTTTTAATTCTAACATATAAGCAATTACAAAATGTAACGTGTAATTAAATGCACAATTGCACTGAACAGTGCAAAATATAACGCATTGTAATTTATGTAAAAATTAGTAATGTTTTAGCATTGCCCTGTTCTTCTTGCTCGCATCTAATTGACTACTATTGAGTAGTCAATTAGATGCGAGCAAGAAGAACAGGGGAATGTCGTTTTTTGTTTCATTTTTGTTGGTTTTCACTATAAATCATGATGACAATTTAGGCTGTCAAATTCTTTAATGACACAGTTATTTTGTTCTGTATTTTGAACGTAAAAATAAATATCAGAAAAATCCCATTAAAATATAAGAATAGAAATGAATATCACATTAATCATGTAAAGAATTTTGTTTGCAATGTGTTTTAAGCTATTATTATTAAGGCAGTGTGACATTATCGATATTTATAAAATCTTTTACAACACTAATCCATCCACCCCCGATTAGCCAGGTCGCGCAGTGCACGATATAACTTAACCCCGACGTCGCGTCTAGCTTATTGTATTGCTATTCGGCATTCGAATCACTAACCCCCCTTTTACGAGGTCATATATATTTGTTATAATTTATTTAGAATTGAATAGAAAAGTGATTTCATAGAATGGAGAAATTTATGGAATTTATTTTTAAAATTTATCGACAGGTAATTTAGCATACAAGCATGACTGGATTGGTAGGTATGGCGAAAAAATTTGTGGTGATATGTTGCAAGACTAAAAAGTTCAAAATACTGAAGATACATAAATTTTTCTAGGTTTTAATTTAATTATTTGTTTTTTTTTTAAACAAACTGATTAGGTATTCTTAATCAATCATTATAAATTTGATTTGAAGCTCTTGGTTCATAGACCTACAAATGACAATTTCTCAAATTCAAATATTTAAATGAACAATTCTTTTTTCAAACTTAATTCCATTTCCAACTTTTTTTATTAATATAATAACAAACCACCTCCAAAAGCCTACTCTATGGTATACAATAGTATTACCAAACCATGAAATGTTCAATAACATATAAAATTTCGAAATATCCAAGGTTTAACGTAAAAAAACTATTGACAGTAACATACGCGTGGGTAGGAACAAATTATTTGAGCCATCGGAGCGCAGATAATTGAGCTTCACAAAAGAGTCTCGTATGAAATTTGTCAAATAAATATACGTATATATGTTTAAGAGGATGTGACATTGGGACACAAGTTTAATTGTCAGACTTTGTTGCTATTCACAGAATTGTCAGGGATATTACGGAATATACTTTTGTGGGCAACTATTTATGATATCATGAAGATAGTTTTGAATATTCTAAAATATTTAAGACGAAAAATCGTCTCTATTATTAGGTATTTTCCTTTTTGGATTCACTAGTTATTTATCTACAAATACACAAGTTCTTATAGAATATGAGAACGTGTACTTGTAGCCAGGAACTGCTGGCTGTATAGTGACCCATCGATTTACATAGGTACTTATTTAGAGAAATTATTTTTTCGCTTTAATAACTATACGGGTAGGATAAGGATAATTCATACAAAATGTATTTACTGCCTTTAATCCAACAACCTTAATAATACAAAATATGTGCGGAGATCAATGACTTATTCTTTTCTAGTATTTTACATAGGGCTTTATCTAGAACAGTAAAAACTATAACGAATGTCTACTATAAATCCTAAGCCTACCAAATAAAATTTCTTCTTATAGCTTCGATTCGATTTTCAGTATAAAATTAAACTTATCGATATAAAAATACATCGATAAAATTTACCCTAGCCGTCATCTGTCACAGGAGCTGTCATTGTTAATGAAAAATAAAGAAAAAAAACGCAAAACAAAATGGCCTCCAACATGTGTGACCACAACGCAATATGTCTTTACGGTCACGCACTTTTTAATGTATTGTATATAATATGAAAAATATTGGTGCCGGGTATTTATGTTTTTTGGAGAAAGTTTTTGGTTAGTATTTTTTATTTTAAAATCAGGGGGTGCACTTTATCGCAAGTTCTTACCACTTGTTACGGTTTGTTGAAAAAAAAAATGGTTTATGCTTTATAAAACAGGCTTTTTGCCGTTAAGCTTTTTGAGGATTGTATAAGCATTGATGCTACAACTGAGGAGTTTGTTCTGAGAGGACGTTCTAGTCTAATTAGATACTGTTACATAATAATGTCGTTAGAAATCGAAATTATAATTTAATAATTCAATTAAGCTAGTGTAGTCTACTGCGGGACGGAGACATCCCATAACGTGCGTCATTGTCCTCGGTCTTCCAAATTTTCGCATCCATCTCTCCCAGCTACCTTCATCAGGTCGTCAGTCCAACCAAAAATAATGAATCCAGGGTGTTGCCAAGTTTCTAAGATTTCAAGGGACAAAAAGTTTCTTTAAATTTAAATAGCTCAAACCTTGAATACATCCAATTAAAAAAAACACAAATAAATATATAAATCAATTAGCAAACGTCCTAAATGATGCGTCACAAACAAAAATAAAATCAATCAAATTGAGAACCTTCTTTTTAAAATCAAACAGAAAAAAGATATTCAACTATTTTGTCTATGACTATTTCTATTAAGATAAGTTACTATGAATAAAACTACTATATTTTCCAGAGCCAAGTACGTACCCTCAGTCGCAAGTCGCAAAAAAAAACAATGGTCTCTTTCCCATCGGTTTCGTCAGCGTGGCCGGCGGTATGCAACACCGCCGGCATGTACGCATCGCGGCAGGCACAAAGACGTTGTCGACATACCTCTCATAGCAAAAGCCTTGGTTCTCTCTCGCATACAACTATTCCGCCACTTCAATGGACAGGTTTATGTCCGATGTAGCAGGTTTTATAATCTGTATTATATTTAAAGGATGGCATTACGGGTTGAAGTCACCAGAGCGAAGCAAATAGGTAGCAAAAAATAAACTTTATTATAGTCTATTAAAGATTGTTTTAAACTATTAAAATTCCTGAAATATCATCTTTTAACTCATTATTTGAAAACCAATTTTGGAAGAAATCCTATTACAACTACATATATACTGTTTAATAATGTCAGTATTTAATTATAAAATCACAAAACTGATTTAAAAGAGAAACTTATTAAATACGATATTAAAATAATATTTAAAGCAATTTAGGTAGTTTAACCAGAGAGGAACATAATAGTACGATATGATACTACCCGTATACTGGAGTATTAGCCACTTTCCTTAATTACACTTACTTTTATGATTTTAGCGCGTTTTATATCCAAAACAAAAAGAATCATTGATACCTGCCTGATATCCACAGAGATTAGTACTTTCAAACACAAAATAAACTCTTTAATG